ATAATAGAGTTCTGTCACATCTAGAAGTTATTTTCCAGTGCATAATGGGTTGACCACCACAGATCTTACTAAATATAGGTTCAGAACTCAAAAAACAAATTTTTGAAATATTTTTTATATTTTGAAGATTTTTAAATTTCTTGAAGCTTTATATTGGAAAGTGGTGATATTCATTGCAGATGTTGTATTACTCCATAATTTAATATGTTTTTGATAATCGCTATTTTTCATACTTTTCATTGGCTGTAGTTTTGCACTCAGTGGTTTTATTTTATAGGTATTTGGAATATGGTGACTTTGGGGTTTCCTCTTTCTGTGTGATCATACACTCAGCAGCCACTTTAATAGGTGCATCCAAGAACTGTAATGCAAACCAATGAAACCGCTCTGCCATCGGTAGGGTCGGCGTGGGATGACACGCAAATGAGTAATGCATGCTCTGAATGTAAATAACTGAACATAAATCTGTTATCCTGTAAAATATGTTTAAGAAATGAATATATAGTGTTGTGTCTACAGGTAGGAGCAATGCGTATTAGGCAGATAACCAGACTAAATTGCGATTTTATTTTCCCTTATTCCGGCTACAATTCCAGCGGATCAGCAATCAGTCGGTAATTCTGCATTTGTCCTTTCAGCATGATTTTTGGTAAATATGGAAGCTAAGGAGTGGTTAGTGCAATTGTTTTTTCCTACAAATAGAACTATCCAAGAACTATCTGGACTAAGAGCTGTTATAGAAATCGTATTGTAATAAACCCAGCTGACTAGCTACTCTGTACTTGTCTCTGCTAGTTTGAAAAAAGTCTAAAAGCACAAGTTTTTATCAGTCCAACATCAAAGTAACTTGTATTAAAATGTTTTAAACTCAGTCTGCTCATTTAAATTTTCTGCACCCCAGTAGTGTCGATTGTTTGTTAGATACACTTTGTTTTTTATCAATGAGATTGGGCCTTATAACCGTGCAATACAGTTAACTAGCATCACAAACTAGATTGTCCAAAATGATCAGAAAGTTGAATCAGCGTCTCTTGAACAGAGTTTTAACAAAAATGTAACCATTATAACTGTCCTAAGAGTAGATATTAGTACAGCACCGTTACATTAGACTGCATTAGTTTTAGTTAGGTGTTAAAAAAAACAAAACCGGCAACTAAGTGTATTTACCTTTTATCCCCGCTGAGCTCTGAATCCACTCACTCGCTCACTCTGTCTGTTCCTCAGTGACCACTATGAAGCACAACAGTGTCCGCAGATGACACACCGAACACAGTTATCTCCTCTCTGTAATACTGTGTGGAGAGATTTGCATCTGTGACTTTCTGTGTCCTTGTTTACTTTAAAATTCACTTCAGCTTCCTCTGAAGTTGGATGAAACGGGAGACTATAAGAGGGTCTCTCTCTGGTGCGTCAGGAGAGTTGATCACGTGACCCGCTGACCCAAACAATCTAACTCCAGCAATTTCTGATCTGTGGCCAGTTAAATCCCTTCCCCTCTACAATACCAAAGGAGTCTAAATCTGCTTACCAGATTGCCTCTCTTTGTCTCCCAGCTTTTACTGTGGGGTATTTTTAATATCAGGGATGAAAGGCGTAATCCTTTATTAACCTTTGTGTCTTTTATATGGGTCCCGCATAATGAGGGTAAAAGCAAATTTAAGGATGTTGAAGCGGGGAAGAGAGAAGAGCGTTTATGTATGCATATGACTCTCTGTGTGACTCTACATGTGACGCTGCATGTCTGATATCCCGCCAGATGTGACGGCTCACCATGTGTGCATTAATCAGAGTATCTGTGTCAGGAAGCCTTCCAAAAAATGTCGTGCAGAAGAACAGGAATTTTATCTTTCAGGAGATGATTACAGAACACTGGTATATTTGTTACTGTTTTCATTAAAATGTTAAATGTACTAAACGATTAAGCTGCATATTACCGTACAGATATGAAGGCATCACATATCAAACACAAGTTACAAAGTAGAATCAGGAATTTTATAGCTCAAAGAGAAAAAAGGCTTTTTATAACTAGATTA